AAAGTTACACAGAATTAGCGTTCATGTTCCAACATGAGACGGGAAATGAAAATCTAAATTCTCTATCCTTAATTCACCTTACTGTGCTTTATGTAGCCACTCTTGCAGAATCAAACATTACTAAGACTACTTAGGGGAAACTCCCACTGCTTTTGCTGGCAGTTTTGCTCGAGTAAGGTCTGTGTGATCAGGATAGCTGCTTGCAAAGTCAACAGCTACAAACCTGTTCACTGCAAACTTGTCAAGAAGGGAGTCTGCAGCGTCTGGCGTTGCAAGAACAGTCCTATTTTCAAATGCAAGGTGTTCTAATGTCTAAAGTGTAAGAGAAAATCTATAAAAGGTGATAAGTGATGCAAATTGTTACGCCCCATGGGAGAAAGATGTAATGGTATCAAAACTTTGCTGGTTACTCAAATGGAATAGCAAATTCTGTGTGTTGAATTGTATTACATGTAAACATAAACTACCTGTGAATCTTTCTAAAATGTGGCACTTGGTAATCTCAGCTTTTCTGAAGGAGAGGGGCGCAGTCTTAGAAATTCAGCTCTGCTCAGGGTAGCTGGGGCGTCCGAACACTGTATGCACTCGAACAGATGTTGTGGAAACCCACCATGAAACGATGCACACATGTTCCAGGCACAACAGAGGAAATAATAGGAAAGTTACTTCTGTAAATCTGCAGGAAGGCCACACTGTTATGGCACCACGCTGCTTCTGAGTGGCAGTGTGTATGTGAATTTTGGCACCAGCCTTATGAAATAAAGGCTCAAGGAGCGCTATAAAATGGTTCTCTCTGCCTTTTTGAAGCAGCTAAATATCCCCAGCCTCCCAAAGAGTACGCTGAGATCAAACAATGCATCTGTCTTGAAGCAAGGAGGGACAACAGCCTTTGAGTTTTTGCCTCCTGCAAAGCAAAAACAAACTGCAAGTTATTAATGGCTCAATTTGCACTTTTTTGGAAAAGTTTTTTCAGTTTCTTCCTCTGTTCTAACATAGTGACATTGCCAGCACCCTCTGCTTGCATCCCAAAGGGAAAAATGTATTTAGTATGTATTTAATGTGTGATTCTTGGAGCTCCCAAGTCAACAGCAAGAAGGATCACAGAAAACTAAGCCACTGATGACTCCAGGGTTGTAGGGACATACGAGGAGGAAGAAGTCACCCCTGTGACCTTATAGCGTAGCAGACAAATAGACTTGTTTCCACAAAAGCTTGCACGTCCCCTAGATGTGAGAGAAGGCTCTCCAGGCTCCTGCCAGCCGCTGTCTGAAGCCGAGTTCTGCTCCTAGCTCTTGCTCTTCTGATCCTGTTAATGCCTGTCACCATGGGAGGTGGCACTGCTCATTTGAAACAAGTGGAACAGGCAACCCCTTTTGCCTTTTGAACTCCCCAGGGTTCTTAAATTAATCCACATTTCATAAGCACAATTGATTCTTTGCTGCAAGTCTTGGGAATATAGAGAAAAAACCCACAGTTTAATGCATTTGGGGAAAAAAGCCTGGCTCACAGAAGTGCCAAATCAGTTGGATTTCACAAAATTCAGACTTTTCGTCTGCTTATGGTATTTATGTACACGGTGTACCTGCCTGGCTGAAGGCCAGACTGCCTTGAAGCTGTTTGCCTTCCCTCATAATGGGAATACTAGGCCCCTCTTCTGAGAGCTTTTGGAAAGAGAGATCAGTTATTCTTGGGTTTTAATCATCGCCATAAAGAGAGCTTTCCCACTGCTCGGTTACAGCAGCAAAGAAAAGAAGAGGTAAAAAGCTTTTGAGGTATCTCAGAGGGAAAAAGCAAAGGTGTGCTGATGTGTGATACAGATTATTCTGAAAAGAAGCTCTGCTGTTTTGCCTTCCGTTGTGCAGCGATGCTGCAAGAGAAGACGACAGCTGTGAAATGCATCAGCGTGTTTTCTCTACGTACTGTTGCAATGGCTGCTCTAGAGATTAAAAAGTACCTTGTACCTTTAGTCTGTGGGCTGTAGAGAGCATGGCTCTGGCACCCCAGGCATTTGAATAAGGAGGGGTTTACTCTCAGTTGGTGTTGCTACATCTTGCCTTTACAGGAGTTTGTGAGCACCAGCAGCAGGTAGGCAGCTGCCATCCAGACAACATGTTGATGAAGAATAAGAAAAGGAGAATTTAGTTGCCATCGAAGGCACAGGAAAGGAAGGAGTTTTAAAGTCGATGAAAAACTTGATCATAGTCTAAAGATCTTTAAGACAATTTTCACATTGGACTAACAAGAGAAGAGTACCGACTTCTGCAATAATTGTCACGATCCATCCGTGCTCTCTGCTAGACTTCCAGCCATGCATTCCTACTGCTCCTAAGCTTGCAAGTTCATCCCTGGTTTCTGCTGCAGTAAAACTGCCCAGAGAAACTTAAGCACCCGTTTTGACTTGGGAGCCTCCATGAAAATGCTCTGCCTACGTTCTGACTCTGAGCAGTTCTGCAATATTCAAATGTTAATGCAAAATGTAATCTACAATATCCCATTTGAACAAACAGCAATCAATCTAATACACCACAGCTCAGTTACTTCCTTGGTCTCTGTAACAGGTGCTGTCAAATAAATCTACTGAATAAATCAGTCCCATTGTAACCGTTAGGAAGGCTTTTATAACTGCATTTGCCGAGTGGGAGGACATTTTTCTCTCCATTTTTTTACTGACAGTCAGATAAAAAACATACTAATCAAGAGAGACATGCAATAAATGCCTCAGAGGTGAATTCCTGTTTATACTGAGGTCTCCCAGTCCTCCACTCATTTGAGGATTCTGATGCTACCACAGCAGAGAGAATCAAGCTTTTTGGATCCAGTTCAGTTTTCATCATGGATGGACTGGGAGATGCCTAAAATACTGAGGCTGCCTGCATAATATTTTCACACTGAGCACCTTTGCATCATCTATGCTTTATTCTTCTATCACAGCTTGTCCTTTCTTATTCCTGGCAGAAGACTCACGGCAACCTCCAGCAAGGGCACCTGCAGGGATGGAGCTGGTCCCCATTATAGAAAATAGCTCCCTATATATTTCTGTTATGCTACTGCGCTGTATTTGCAGCAAAATCCATCTTTGCTTTCTTGTCACTTTAAAAAAATACTGCCCCTGAATAAATCCTTCCCCATTCTAGCTCCTTTCACTTTTAAAATGTTCATCAGAATGCACTGTATTTCTTTTCATAAAGCTCCACGGTCTGGAAAATAGATCAAGACGATAACACCTACTTAATATAGGTTTTTCCCCCTGCGGTCCCCCCCCCCCCCCCCCCCCCCAATGCTTTGCAGTAAGATGAAGCAAGTGAAAGTGTCAGCTCTTTCTGAAATGAGAACAGCGCTGGGATTGTCTGTTGGCATCAGGCAGCACGGATACAGATGCACAACAATAGAAGATTAGCAGATAGCAGCTCTGCAACCATTATTCATTTAGCTGAAATGTAAATACTGCTCCTCTGGGAGAAAAATGGAGAGGCTGCTGCGAGCCAGGCGGGGTAAAGCCTGCAGGACTCCACGGGGGTTCCAAGTTCAGGAAGCAGAAGGTCAACAGAAAGAGGGTCTCTGAAGAGAAGTCAAAAAGAGGAGAGTGACACAGACTGAACTAACAGGAAAAGTGACCCCCGTGCCGCCACTGCTTGACATCTTTGGCCATTTTTCTTTTCATGGCAGCAACAGATGTCACTGCTCGCAAGCGACTCATGGCAGCTCTGAGGATGGTGAAAAAATGGATGTGGGAGCACGTGGAAACGCTAACCAAGACAACCCAGCAACATGCAAAGATACAAGAACAGCTACAGTGCTGGACCATGTTTAAAAGCCTCTACTATATCACTTCCTTCTGGGAAGCCTGTATTTTGCTCTGCAAAGTCTCTGTTTTATCTGTACAGCATTAAGCCCTGTGTTTTCTGGCAAGGGCTGCACATAGCTCAGTTATAATGAATGAAATGAGCTGGTAACAGTTGGGTATTTATAGGCTCCGCACGCTGGTGCTCCAAAAAATCTGAAAGCATTTAAAACTGCCTTTGGCTCCAGAGCAACGTTGGCAGCTTGTGGGGACATTCGGGAGGAGTCATGGCAGGAACAACAACCATGGAAGTCTCCTGAACTTTGTGCTGAGCGTCTTCCAGTCCAATTTGCAGAGAGTGAAAAATGAGTTAAAACATTAAAAGATGGAAAAACAAGATTGAATGTGCAAGATTACTGTGAATATGAATACACAAGCTAAGTTCTGCATGGTTTTCTGTGGGAGAGTTCACTCATAAGTAAAGACAAGGCAATGAGGTCATTAGTTTGCTTAAGGTAATTGAGTTGAATATTGCTAGACATATAATATAGTGGCTTATCGTTAATGACACCAGATAGCTTTGAGGAAACTAAATGTCTACCAGACATACACGTGAATCTCTTCCTGCTTCCTAGAGACCTACACTCCAGAAAGGCAGCAGCCCAGGTCTGGACCTAGCAAACCAGCCATCGATACCACAGAGCTTCTGTAATTACAAACTGGTTCCTGCGCTATGGCGTCAATGCAGCCCAGGGGACCAAGGTACAAGGCCTACGAACTCGCCCCTGTACGAACCTGAACAGTGTTGAAGGCTCCACCAAGATAAGATTGCAGGTTGTACCTGCTCTCCAGTTATGTGTTTGAGCTCCAGGTTTCCCAGCTGCTGATCCAGGGCTTGCAAGACAGAGAGGCCTTTCTTGGAGAACACTGGTGTTTTGTGTCTCCAGTACGAGATATTTCAGAACCCAAAAAAACCCAAACATACCCGACAAGAGAGGGAAATTCTCATGATTTTGGTTAGTACTGAGCGCTGGCTGGGCCAACAAAATCTGTAGTGAAGTCTGAGATAAGATTTGCCTCAAAGAAAGGAAAGAAGGACAATGCACACAGAGGTGCTCTGTTCAGTATCCATTCTTCCCCTAATCAACGAGTGTGAGATTACAGTGCTGCAAGCAAAGGACAGATGGAAAAAACTGAGAATAGAAGAAGTACCACTTACTACGGATGAAAGGTCCATGTTTACCATCCTCCTGTCATCCAAGTCGACTGGCTGGAGGCCTGCAACGTTGATCTGGACAGAAGAGGTTCTGTATACAAACCTCAGCAGCCAGTCCCCCCTAGGAAAAGAGCAGAAGAAGAGCGTGAATAAATCCTGTTGCCAAACCAATGCAATATGTGACTACTCAGACCATGAGGAGAGTAGAAGGGCTGGGAAGCACAGTGATGTCTGGACCAAGACCTGCTGCAGCTTTGTCTTAGGTAGGAATCGCAGCAGTTGCCAAATTCAGGGCAGGTTCCTGGGACACAGTAGTGTAAGTCTGAATTTCATCCTGATTCACGGGTATAGTCTCATTACATGCAGCAGGTTTAAAAATCTGGCCTGTCTATTTATTTCTGTATTTGCTTAGAGATTGCAATACATTCACATATTTAATCTTTTTAATGTACTAATAGGTAGAAGTTCTCCAGCCTGTAGACAGCTGTAAACGTGATGAGGCCTACAATACCAGTGTTGCCGACATAAATATCGACTGTGAAGCTCCTCCGAGTGCTCCAGATTTATAGGTACTGTATAAATACATGGTTTCAATGACAGAACTAGGAAGAGTTTGTTCCCACTGTAAAGTATTGCCATAAATCACTGTGACAGTTTCAGGGTAGACTGTAGCATGATGAGGAAGGCAATGTGTCCTTTGGAAATACGTAACCTCTTCTCCCATGCTGAGCAACAGCATAAAATCTGGGCACCTAAACGCCACTCCACTCTAGAGAGTAGATTTAATGTGGATGGGAGCGGTGTTTGTACTCTGTGGTGGCAGCAGGTGAAATGCACCTGCAGAGGTGCCGTTTCTGGCTGCTCCTGTCCACTCCAAAATGGTTTACGCTAGAAGCTGTAAGTCTATGCAGAGCTCTGCAAAATCTTTGCAATGCATCCATGCTACTCAGGCATGGGTTCTTTCAAAAGCTGAGCAAGTCTAACTAATTTGGTTAAGGTTTCCCACTAGGAATTTGTAACCCTGCTGTGAAATCAGATGGGACAGCTCTGATAGCTGGCTTTCACTCTCTGTGTCCTTTCAGACTTCAAAGCCGAAGGAGACAAGCTACACTGGACTGAAGCTCAACAAATTGGGCCTAAATCTGATCTTGCAGGAATTCTATTCAATGTAATTCATCCGACCTAAATAGAGTTACTCCTAAAGTGACAGAACGAGGCCATAATTTATATAAGCGAGAGACCAGAGAAATCAGAATCAGGTGAGGTCTTACCACGAAATGTTTGTATAATCCTTCTCTCACATCTAATATCCTCACATAAACACTCCGTATCTCTCAGTTACCTCCTCTAGCTGCCCCTCCTGCTAACTGAATAACCCTCAAATTCAGCATCTGAGGGCAAAGTAGAGAACCAGTATAGTGGAATATTTCCTGACAGTCTCCTCACCTGCTTCTTCCTATTTGTGAGCAACAAGCTACAATTTCTACAACAGTTTTCATTCAAGGCATGGGCTTGCCAAAGCAGAGACTAACCAAATTACTGCACACACAGAGGTACAAACACACATGCTATTTTATTCCAACAGCACATGCAGCCTTCGAAACTAGCAAAATATTTTTTTTTTTGTATTATAGAAGATGAATACACAGAGCTTTTTGCAGTGAAATTGATTTTTATATAACACAGGGAGGAACAATATTTGCCAGGGCAAATTCAGTTATATGCAACAATTGCTATCATTTATGGCTTCTCGGAGGAAGACAGAAGCACTCCCAAGGAGGCAGCAAATGCTTTTTCCTTATGTCACATGAAGAAATACTGTAACTGATGTGCCCATCCAGCATCCATAAAACCTCCTGTGATCCAGAAAGGACAAAAGCAACAATTTTCAGCCTAACTGACAGATGGGATTAATAATTTGTTGTTTTAATCTTGAATGCTTTTAATTCTTTTGTTTGTAAAGTTGTTCCTTGTAAATTAATATACTATGTTAGATGCACAGTAATACAATACTTCCTCATCTTATATGTATGTATGTAGGCATACATATGTATGTATGTATGGAAAGTACCGACAGCATTTTCAACTGTCCTTGACCTGAGGGCACATGGCTTTGTAAGCTGTCTTGACTTGCAGTTACATGTTCTTTGCTAACCTTCTTGCCTGGTTATTTCTCAATTTATTTTCCCATGCTCTTAGTCTTCCCTGCTTCATTCCTTCATTTTAATTTCCCCTCTTCTAACTGTGCTGGTAAGCAGTGTTCTTGTCACAATTATCTTCCAATACATAGTCATTAGATTTGATACTGTCAGTTGAATTTTTAATAGTTTTTATAAGATTGCTTCAGCTGTTGCGTGCCTCTGAATCTCCCTCTTTTCACCCAGAGGCTCTCACAACTCTGCATAGCAGTTGTCTGCGCGGTTTTAAAAGGCTGATATTTGGTTTCAAGGTAACCTTTCTATTCTTTCACATCCTTACTAAATTTGCTACACTTATTCCAGCTATACCTCCTTTGTAAGTAAAATATCTTGTTCATGTGGACTATCTTGACCAGACATTGACTCTAGATCTCAAACAAATCTTCAATTTGCTTGCGGTCCTTCCCTCCCATTGCAATTTTCCCATCTTGTTCCCCATAAGCAGCCCCTAGTGAGCTGTATTTCAAAGCTTTTATAGATTTTAATTGACCTTCTTTAACTGACAGTGAACTTAACAGCCATATTTATAGTCCTTTACCTAAAGCTGAGATCTAAAGGGGCCTTAGAATACGTCAAATTATGCACACAAACATGCTGACCCAGCTTTAAGCTGCCAGAGTGATGTAACACTGCCACTGTATGAACAGGACCTACATATTGAGCACCTCAGGCTTCCAGTGTAACTATGCATCGCAAACAGGCAAGAGCTGGAGACAGAACAGCCTTCGAGTGTCTCCTCAAGACTGTCATCTCCAATTGATCTGAGGGAGAGACCTCCAGAGGGAAGAGGCTCTGGCACTGCTGCCTCTGGCGCTACTGAATCAACATACTCCCCAGCTGAACAATTGTTCACTTACAAAATGTTTAAAAGGGATAAATGTACAAAATCATTTCAAAGTGACGGTAGGATAATGAAGCAGGGGACTGAGCATGTACAGACCTGCAATAACCATTTATGATCCTGCCCGACACCACTTTTGCGATAGCTTTCCAGTGCTTGGCTTCTCCTTCCACTGGAGCTCCCAGTAACACCACATCTTCAATGATCCCTTGAGAGTCTATTAAGATGAAAGCAGAAAAGCTCCGATTCAGAAGACGGATCAGAAAAATCTATCTTTACACGTACGTGAAGGAAGGGTATGTTCAGATGTGGACTACAGAAAAAATCATCATTTCTGTGGTTTAAATTTTAAAGACTGAAACAATGGAAAGGAGGATCTTAAACATCATTTTGCATAAATGTTAAGTGTCCACAGTTCCAGCTGGAGTCAGTAAGTGTGAAAATTAGAGATCCTGAGGCTGCAAAACAAACTGGGCTGATGGCAAGAGGAAGAAGAAGCCTGACCTCTGTCCAGAAAGATGCAGTTCAAGCAGCAAACCAGCAGAAAGTTCTTTCCACAGACCTATTGATCGGGGTTTGCACGGAGCTGAACTATTGTGCTTTGAAACAGGCGAAAGGGACTGACGTTCCACATAGTGAGCAAATGTTGTCATATATTAAGCATGATAAACTCTTCCCACAACCAGGTCTTAGAGCCGAGTTTGTGAAAAATGTAACCGGTACACACAACAGAAAACCCCCGATTTCTTAATATTGATTGGGAACTAGCAACAATGAAGGCATTTGCCAACCGTATGAACAGGAGTGATAATCTATCAAACTGGTTTGATTTTCTTGAAGGGTGCTTTAACCTGAATGCCCAGGGCATGATTTGCTGAAAAGGAATGTTGACTTTTAAGCATAATAAATCTTCCTCTCTTATCAGACAGCTGCAGCAGGGGAATTTCAGTAGAAGTAATGATTGAATGAGAAATATTGAGCAGCTCTGCTACTTTCCTAAACTCCCAAACAATGTATTAATATCTATTCGTAGATCTTCTTTGTAAAGAGAGATCAAGCACCTGATGCCGTAGCAGTTAAATGAAATTCACAGCAGCGCCCGTCTTGGGAGACTCATGGGCATAGCATGCCAAATCCATACTCTCCACCTGTGGGAGACCAGCGTTCACAAGGTGTGAGCTAAACCATTCTCAGGCTGGCGTTTGCAGTTTGTAAAATAATATGCTAAGTTTACAGGGAAGTGAAAGTGAGAGTCACTGCATACCACATCAAGTTACGACGGAGAGGTGCTGCCTGGCTAGACTTCTTAAATGGAAATCAATTGGTTTCCTTTCCCTGATAGCAGTAAATGACTTGGAGCTGCCTGCAGTGCCTGCATCTTTCTCTGCAGTGTCAATCCCAGCGCCTGACAACAATCCAAAAGAGCTCTCATGGTATTATTTCTTATTGCAAAGCAAATTTTGCACCAATCAAGAACAGCAAAGAGCAATTCAATTTTGTTAGTGTAATATGTGAGCAATAAAGTCCTGTCCCTATAATCACAGGCAATGAAAAAGAAACACAGAGCCTTGCAAGTGGGGGGCTCGTTCCAACCAAGGTACTAAATTCCATGGCCACAGTGTGAGCCAACTGAATAAACAAACAGCTAATTCATCAGGATCCCGAACATTTGGGCAAGGTATTGGAAGCTTTTGTTTCTCCAGTCCTTTGTACAGCTTGTTTCTTGCTCAGAACAAAAATGTTTAGCCTTGGCTGAAAAATACTCACTTTCATTGAACGTTGACAGAGGGGGACAGAAACCTGAGAACAGATCACTGGCCTACATAGTTGCTGACACTCTAGATGAATTAAAATTGTTTCACAGTTTGCAAATATTTTATATGATAAAGAACAACAAAAAAAAAGGAATTACTGATGGGCAAAAATTAAAAACTGGTAAGATGATTTGTCCAGAGAAGGGGCAGAAGATACAAGCTGACCCAGAGGCCATAACCAGTCCTCGGGAGCTGGGCTTCGCTGTGCCTTTAGGGTACAACTCACTGGGCAAAGAGGAAAGCATCTCCTCACGTTAGTCCTCACTGAAAACAGAACAGGGGCGGAATTTAGCGCGCTCTGCGCATTGTGCAGCTGCAGTGCCAAGGACAGTGTTTCATGGCAGAGCTGGGCAGCAGTACTCCTGATACCTAACCACAGCAGAGGCAATAACCCAGTGGTGATACTGGTCACACAAGCAATCCTGTAGGACACCGTGATCCGTATTAGACAAATATGTAATGTGTGATACCTCACTCCTATCGCGCGCAGTTTGGTTTCAAAGTTCAGGTTCCAGTGGTAACAGCCGTTATCAGTTTTCATTTGTTTATACTTCCTGTTTACTAAAATGCATGGGAATCGTGATGAAGAAATCAGACCAATGATCTTCCCGTGCAGTAACTTGTCTCTGATGGGTCATTACATCTTCTGCTATAATGTCATTTTCTGGAAACCTACTAAGCGCTGGCTTCCAAAGTCATTTGTGATGAAGTATCCCAAAGGTTATTTAATTGCTTTGCAGAAGGGTATTTTATTTTAACAGAATTTGAGTTTCTGCCATGGTGTTTCACTGGATAATCCATGATTAGTTACTTGTCCTCAGAAATGCCACTGCCATCTGGATACAAAAGGCCTGCATGACTAGGCCTTGTATTTCTTTTGTGTGAGACATCCCAGTCCAAACCCAAATCAGTCTCAGATGTCCCAGGTCCCAGCTCCATTCCTTCTGTGGCTTGCGCTGGAATGTGCATGTGAAGAACGCCTTGGCAATCTGTGCTAAACATGCTGCTTTTCATCTCGCAAACAGCTCAGCTTTCATAATTCAATTAAGAAACTGAAAAATTAGTGTACATTGGGGAGCTGCTATGATACATAATTACGATGCTTATATTTCTTTAGAACGGCAGCCAACCTGAAAGACCCCTAATGATTTCCTTTCACGTATTACTTAGCTACGGTCCCGTGTTATTCCAGCAAGAGACTGAAAATATCTCAGCTCCTGGCATTCTTAGGACACAAAAAGAGCAGATCCAGGGCCAGATTAGGATCTGGGTTCTGCTTCAGTGTATCTCCATTAGGATCATTCTGGATTTGATTAGATTTATTTTGAGAACAGAATTCCTGTATTTAAGGACTTCCATCTTAAACCAGAAGGGAAGTTCTGGCACACAGCTGTCAAGAGAAAAATGCTGACCTCCTCCATCCTCACTTGACTCTATTCCCACCTTTCTGGACTTTATTGAACGTTTTCCTCTATAAAGCTCCTTATTTATTAGCGACTCTTTGTAAGGCTAAATGGTTAATTAATTAAATTAGCTATGTAGGGGGGAAGGCAGGCTGCATGCACACACTCACTGCTGACTCAACTCCAAGATGCAATTTACATCAACTGATCATAATGATTTTATTCTTTTTTCTAAATTAAAAATAGAATCTATTAATAAACAGAACCACAATGGGTAATAAATTGACAGATGGTTTTATACTTGACTTTGGGGAAAAATTACCATGAAAATAGCAGATGACAGTGGCATTTCAGTGACTTAAATGGAAGGGAGGACTCAGGGAATCAGATACAATAGCTACAGAGAGCTTCCAATAAAGGCAAAGCATCCTCTGCCAAGATCACCGTGGCGCGTGGGCAGCTCACAGACTTGATCTAGCAGTTGAATGTCACAAAATGTCAAGTTGTTGTTTACACACGGGAGACCAAACTGACACACTGGAGCACCTCAAGTCGAAACAGCAGATTTAATCCACTGAACTGGTGGAAATGGCAGTAGAATTTGGCTCCAAATGCACTTCAAAACCTTTTTTTTTTTACGTTTTTGTCCTATCCTAAAAGGCCCAAGCTCTGTTCCAGAAGAACTGTTCCTCTTGGAAGAAAAACTTGCCTACCAGCAGTAAGGAAAATAAAGGAGAAAAAGGTTAGAAGGTGAATTTTACCTTTTTCTTGAGCCATTTCCTGCAGGCAGAAGTAAATGACTCTTGCACCCAGACTGAAGCCAATCAGTGTGACAGGTCGCTTGCCCTAAGAAAGAAGGAAAGGAGAAAACACCATCAAATACTGTTCTAGACCTAGAAAGAGAGATCTCTTGGCCGCAGGATCCCCAAGACCCTGAAACACAAAGCACTTATGATTGTGCATGTTCTTTTAAACAGTTGAGCAATTTGGCCAATTTCAAAGGGATTACGTATCCTCAAAGTTACGCACAGTTCAATATTGAGAATTCTGCAATCTGAGTATTTTGCATTTTTTGATATTCAGAAAATCAATTGAAAGACTCTCGTGACCAGAGGTTACAACAAAGCAGATGTTTCAAACAGAAACAAAACAGATGCTGTCATTGTTTTGAAATTTCCAAATGAAAGCCTAATTCAAGGAGTAAAATTTTCCTAGAAATGTTTCAATAAACAGAAGAAGCCATAACACAAAAATATTGACCACTTCTAGATTTAAGACTGAATGACAGCAGCACTGTGTGGCTGTTAGAAAAAATGATGTGGTGTAAGCTTTTATTTTGAATAGCCTAATAAGATTTTCTAGAAGATCAAAGAGAGCCTAATCTCAACAACAATGAAAAATGGTCTTTGTATTAACCAGAGAACAGGTGTGCAATGGACTCCCCAGACATCACGCTAACTAGTTTTAGATGCTCTGGCACACTGGAATGTGTGTTTTCACAACAGTGAATGCTTAAAAGGCAGTAAGAAATGTCCCCAAGCAAAACAAAGGGCTTGCATGAAATAAAGTTTATTGCCTTTCCTGGGATTGTATTTTTATGACAAATCAAGTTTGTTTCTACTCTGCTGTTTCACATTGTTATGACATGCAGCTCTGGGGCCATGGCTCCCATAGGGCTCCTCTATAGGGTAACGGACTAGCATGCCTGTGAGACGAACAGGTGGGCAGCAAAAACCAGCCTCCCTCCATGCCACTGACAGCCCAGCAAATAATGGCAGGCTTTTGGTGGGCAGAAACATCTTTTGCAAGCCTTCTCAGGGAGGCTTAACAACTTCTGTCACTTCTTTCAGGTACCAGCCCATTCCACTTCCCTGTAGGCAAAAACATGGGGCACGGTGCATCTACTGCTGCACAGTCTTCTCTTGTGTTGTTTTGCTAGTGCCTCCTAATTATTAGCGAATCTTTTAAACAGTCTGTGTTCTCTTTTCCTTTTCACCTGTCTTTACCTTCTGCTTTCAAATTTGCACTAGGTGAGTTGGCCTGGCTGTTTTGTGACATGGTCAAACCACTTGTCATTTATCACCTGGATCTCTTCTTCTTCATTTAGAAGAGGTTTAGCTTAAATGGAATGAATCTCAGCAGAATTTCTCTGATTCACTTGGGACTTTTTATTTTTCCCCAATGAACCAGATATATTCTGGTTGCCTTCATGCAGCATTTTTTCATTTTTCAGTGTATTATTAATTTTTGTCTCCCTGCAAAGATACCACTTGATAGTTAACTAGCATGACTGTAATTTGACATGGGCCAAATCCCTTCCAGCCATTATTCTTGGATAATTTCTAGCCAATTACCTGCTGTCGACTGAGCAGGATATGTGCTAGGTGTTTGCCTACTTCAGCAGACCGATGGAGACACACTCCCCAGGGGTTGTCAATGACACTGGCGACAGTCAAGAGTGAAGCTGGCCAAGTCAAGGCCGTCACAATACCTGCAACACACAAAGCAAACAGCACAGCATAGTCACAAATCTGGGCTGCTCTTAAGAAACATCAAAAGCAAGACGGTTCACTGAAGTTAAAAGCTAAACCTAGGACCTTTTGTCATTTCCAGTTCTTCTTTCTCAAGAGCTGATCTGGGAAATGTTTTGCTAGACTAGAGATAAGAAAGAATCTGATGTTCTGATATGGAGGCAAACAGACGCTATGCATGAATGTAACCTGCATGTTTGAAAGGGTTATGTAAAGCAGTAAAATGCAGTGTAATAACATAGAGAAATAAACACAGTCACACGTGAAGGAAGGTGTTTCCAGCTGTAATTTTAAAAGAATGAGTCAATCACAGAGGTACAGTAATTCAGAAGAGCAAATCTAAATTACAGGTGTGGCAGAGAAGGTTCTCAGGCCACTTCTGCAGGGCGGTGCCAATACTGCCAGGGGAGATGCCTTCTCAGAAATCTTCCTTGTTCAGGAAAGCACCTTTAAACAGACCCCAACAATGAAACTGCACAAGAGCCACTCAAGCAGATCTGATACGATTTAGGTCCTTACCTGACAAGACAGTGAATTTTAGGGCTTCTTGAGCCATCATGTTCACAAAACCATTCAGCAGGGAATCTAAGGCGTTGCCAAGCTCCATCAAGTACTTGGATTCCCAGGCCAGACAGTACTGCTCACTCGATTTCAGCATGCTGCTCCATGGTGCTGTGAAGCTTCCTGAGAAAGGTTGCAAAGATGGAATTCATGTTCAGAGAAGACAAAACAACGGCTCACTCGTGGCAAAATGAGCCTGACAGAACGAGAAAAGAACCTGCAGGACACTGGAATCTACTGATACTGTGATAATCAGGAATCATATTTAAAAATACTGTGAGATTTAGACGCCGTATTTCCACTGTTTTACAATAAATTTGGGCTTTCTCAATAATCATGCAGCTTTAGCTGCTTTGGCAAAGAATCTTCAGTGTGGACAGGCTCAGACTTCATGATCCATTCAATTGACTCGGACACTGCCAAGACAGATGGACATTAACACTAATTATGTCAGGTATTAAGGACGTTCCTCCTATCACCAGACATCATGCCAAGTCCTGTAGCTCCATCTTCTCCTATAGACCAAAGGAGGGCCTCTCCTGAGAAAGACAGTGCTGAATGGCTGCATGGACTGAGTTCAATGGGACCAGAAGCAGGGAAAATATGTAAGATCTTGTCAAAAATCTATCACAGAGCATCTTCCCAGCACTTCACTTAGGTGGGCAAGGATTGCAGTAGTGGCCCTGTCTGAAAAAAAAGGAATCTGTATTTACAGATCCAGACTGCAATTGTTTTTACTTTGCCATCTAGCCTAGTTAGCCACTTCAGTTTAATTTTTTTCTCTCCAGGTGCCAATCAAAAGCAGTGCCTGGATGTTTGAGAGAGAATGGATAATTTCCACTCTGCAAGTCTAATTTTTGGCTGAATGAACAATTTTTAAGCCCTACTCTCTCTCCTGCTTGTAGTGGAGCTTGTACTAAGTAGCCAGGAGGGGCCTGACAACGCTATTAATGGCAGATGAACTCTGAAGGGCAGAGCAGAATTTTCATCTTAATTAACTAAAACCCCTCCCACACTGTTCCTTCCCCAAACAATGCAGGGCAGGTCAAGGCAGCTGCTGACCAAAGTGGCATGAGAGAGCCCCATGCCAGATCACACCACAATGTACTGTCAGATTTGTGAACACAGAGATAGGCAGCTACTGGGAGCTCAAAAATTGCAAGGTAGCGAATTCCATAAAAATCCTGTCCTCAATCCTCTATTTTAAGGAGTCATGCAAGTGTGTAAATAGATAGACACAGCTGTAAGGAGGAAAACGGATAACAATTTTAGTTTTGCTTTTTTAAACATTATAGCAGATTGCTAGTTATGGAAGAAGAATGTGTGTCATTTATAACTCCCTTTTAAGGGCAAACAGACACTAAAAGGTTCCTGAAGGGACACACTTGTCTTGTAACAGTGCCTGGGAGCCCTCCAACCCCAAGGATTTGGTCCCCTGGCAAGCAGACAATGAGAAAAGCCAAAGCGCCGTACTGCAAAGTGAAAATAACCTTACTCTGACAGCAAGCTGCAATCTAACAAGCAACAGGACCGAGACATCCTTCTGCATCAATGATATCCAGTGTTAATTATGATGCTTCAGAATAAATTGGCAGCTGTTCAGTCAGGTTGCTGAACATATCAGCAGACAGTTGACATATTTTATATGACAAGCTATACTGGAAAATAAAACACTACAGATCTTTCAAGGTTTCTGCCTGCAAGTTCAACTCCTGAGTGCTCTGCTTAACAGAATTTACTTGACAGAACTTTCTTGCCAATAAACTGGCTGATACCGAGAAAGAAAAAAGACAATTTTTCTGTTAATTGCTGGAGGATAAACATAAGGTCTGAGAGATAGGTGAGACACTTTGTACTGGTGCTGGAAATCATCCACCCCAAACAGACCTCTCCTAGCAAAACCAGACAGCATTTATTAACAGAAACAATCCTGCTATGACTACTACCAATCCTACTATCACTACCAATTTCCTGCCCTCTCTCTTTGCTCTGTTTTGATTGGGATTGCAGATTGGGTTATAAAGTCTTATGTTGAGAGTCATTCTGTTTTAGTTACCAGGCCATGCAAGTGTGGGGAAGACACGGTGCAACGAGAGCACAAACAGTGCCTGGAGTGGAACACAGACATGGCTCTCCAGGCTTCTCTCAGTTTCCTTGTCTTGTTCTTACCATATTTGCCAGTGCAGAGCCATCCAGTAATTGCTATGGTGATGTGAAGCTGCTTTCCCTCAGTAAGTGGGAGGAATTCAAACTCTTCTATGGCTCCCACACGCTTCTTCATCTTGTATCCTACACACAGCAAGGCAGAAACATGAGTCTCAGAAATTGCACAGCAAGGACAGACTCTGCTAACAGTGGAAGTTCATAAGAAATTACTTGGGTAATTTGGATAGGGTGTTTTTTTTCCTTTCCAATACCCTCAGCCAGTCCATGCATTACTTAGAGCTTAGTACGGGGCCAACATGATCCTTCTGAGCTTGTGTGATCTGAGGGAATCCCAGCGGAAGGCTTTTTTGCTGCAGACCAGACAGCAGCTGAAACAGCTACTGCTCTCCATGGCAGCATCTTTCCAATCCAAAGCAGCAAGCTTTCATTTCCTTCATTAGCCACATACCAAATATTATTTTCCTACTTGGTCATCAGGGGCTACACAGTATCTTAATCAGCACTGAAATAAAAGTTTCACAGTTGTAAGATTACACCTCAAATTGCTTCCCTTGGTCTGCAGAGCTCAGTGAAGTCATTAGCTCCGCATTTGCAGGCATGATCCTGTGCCTCAGTAGCTGAGAAATGTGCGGTCACTCTCTTACCAGTAAGGCCAGCTCCAGCTGCTCCAAAAAGGGATGCCATGACAGCAATTCCAGCAGTCGAACCTAAAGCAGCTGCTCCAGCGCTTCCAATGATAGTAGCAGCTCCTGCAGCAACCAGAGGGGCAGCAAGACCCCCCGTCAAGCCTGAAGATGCAACAAGTAGTATCACCGAACTGTTACCACTTACAAAAACCAGGCAGTCATTTCCCTGTGCTATGTGAGTACTGCTAATGCTACTGAAAGAGTACAAATGATGGTCTTTTTTGCATCACCAATAAAGGGGCTTTCTGAGATCCTCCCCAGGCCCTGAATCTCTGCACAGATTCTCTGACTGACTTCAGTGAAAATTAAGAATAATTTAAAAGTCAAAGGAAGAACGTGTGGTAGACTGGGGTAAGCTATGCCCTACTTGCTTAGGAAACATTGATGTAGTCTCACACAATTTTGAATTAAGAGTTGAAGATCTGATCCTCTTATAACACAAGAGCAAAAGAGGAGAAAACATTTTTTAAGTGTGACAACCTCAGTTTAATACTTGCCTCAACCACTGAAGCTGCACTTGAATAACTCTTCCAGCTCATTCTTTCAGTTTTATTTTTGTGTGGTTGAAAATACTTTTCTTGGATTTGGGGTTTCTTTTGTTGGTGGGGTTTTTTTGTTTGTTTGAGTTGGATTTTTGGTATCTGAAGTGACATACTACCTTCAGCTTGGCAAAGCAAAGCAGTGAATGCTTTAAAATTAGAGCTTGGGCTAGAAGGTGTGATGGTTTCTGTTACCAAATGTGTAATTGAGACACCCCCCTCCGCCCCTCGTGCTGTGCATGCAATTCAGGAGCAAGTCTCCAAAATGCCTAGGGCAGCCTCACCAATCACTGTTCCACCCCCAACAGTCGCCAAACCAATCAGTAGATATCTCTTCAGCTTTTTTCTTCTTTCCTTCTTTTTTCTTGATACTTCTGCAGTCCTGTGAGGGGATTAGAAGCACAAAAACTGATGGAAAAGCCTGACAAGTAACAGTTCTGCATCAGAATCTGCTTTTATTCTCCTCAGCGTAATTTCCCTACTGGGAACAGTAAAAAGTAGCATGCAGGTGTGGACTGTGACAACACACTCAGATTTATGAGCATGGACATAAACCCACAGATTTAAATTGAAACGATTTAATGGCTGACAAAAGTCAACAGATGTTACTTACTTGGAAAACCCTTCCTAATAGGGCTGAAGCTTGTAAAGAAAAGAAACAAAAAGTCAAAAGCATTTCAATAACTATATACTGCCTACGTGTCTTAAAAAACCACAAGAAAGCTAAGTGGAAACAGGGAAAAGTGTTTCAGACAAAAGGGAATCAGGGTAATTTGTGCTACCAAAGAGATGGAATTAAACTATTTTCCAACAACACTGTTTATGTTGAGCCGCTTTCTAACTGCACATCACAATATAATAATATAATAGTTATTAAACACAGTCATTAGTTCATTTGTCTCTGTGCATTTAAGCTACATTTTAACAAGCTTATCAGAAACAGGTAAATAAACGTAAAAGGAACAAAAATCACTTATTAGGCATTACTTTTGGCTTCTCTTCACCATTTTTGGTTTCTCTCTTACAAGAAATATCTCCCACTTCAGAGGGAATTGCAAGAAACAGAGCATACTGGAATAAGTTGTTTACAGAGGAAGGTTCCTTCTAGCCTGTGTATGCAGCGGTTAATCTGGGCCTTGAAACATAAGAATTTATCTTGCTTCCAAACTTGGATATTTTCCCTCTTAATCCTAGCCTAATTGTGGATTTTCATTATCCATATAATTGCCTAATCCTTCCTGGAACCCCCTAAGCACACTGTAATTTTGATAAAGACAATTTTAGATGAGTTCCAAACAATACGCAGCTTTGTAAAACACAGCAGGAGGAGAATGAATCACAGTGGGTGAAATCCCTGCATCACTGAAGTCAATGGCAGAACTCCCACTGACTTGCATGGCACGGAGACTTTGTCTCCGCAGAGATCCTCCAAAAAAACATCGTGCATTACCTTCTGCAGCTGCAAACATAACTGTCTGCAGAGAACAACAGTGCAGCCTGCAATGACTACCTCTTCAACAATCTCTGTCTAACGAAGTTCACTTTCTACAACCCCATGGTCAAAGCAGCATTTGGATATGCCCTAGTTTGTGCATGTAGTCACCAATCTGAATGCCTGGCTTTGGAAAAAATTGCTCTTGGGGTTCTTTAAACAAGTACTGCAGCCTGACTATTAATACCTAAGTTGGTAATATCCAGCAATTCCTGTGCTACATAGTGGTTCATCAGCTTTTATAGTCAATGGGCTGAAAACAATGACATCGAGAGGGCTGAAGTATGGCTAACCTGGCTTTGGCTGCAATAATGAGCAATTTGAGTTATGTGAGTAAAAAGATAGTTTGCAGCTAAATCCTGCCTGAAGATGCAGTAAGTAAAACCACTGTCATGAGAAGTTCTACCTGCCATTGCTTTCCTTCCGTAGCTGCTAGCAACTGCTTTTGACAATTGCTTTCCTAATAGCTTCTGCATTACAATTATCACTTGATAACCAGACTGCTTTTTTTCCACTATGGTAATTAACTGCCTCTTCTGGTACTGCTCTACTCTCAGTGATCTTGGCTATGCAGCTTCTTGCCTGAACCACAAATTACGTTCAGAAAGATTTTACAGGTGAAATTTCAGGTCATTTTCCAATGATGAAAAGTGGCAGGAGTACACACTAACGAGCAACTGACGTCATGTTTTCCAGTTTCTTACAGAACCATGTACAAAAGAGAGGTTCACACCTGCAAGTCAGAACATGTTTGGTGCTAGCAATGTGGATTTAAGTGTTCGGAGCATTGTTCTATAGATGATGGTACATTTAACCTTGCAAGTTCTGGGCCACAGTCCAACACACCCACAGCAGCAAGGGCAGGAGCAAAACCTTCTGTTAACAAATATCAGTAAAAAAACCCAGCAGAAGCTGCCCAAACCCTGTTTGGTTGTTACTGTTCCAAAACCTCTTGCAGTGGATGGTCAAAGCTGGAAGCATCCTAAGCAGATGTTAATGTATTCCCTGCCCCAAAAGTCTGCAAGGTCAAAGCAGTGACAGGTTTACATTCTGCTTCCTTTGACACCTAACTTTAAAACAAAAGGTCAAAGCAGTGACAGGTTTACATTCCGCTTCCTTTGACAGCTAACTTTAAAACGAACAAAGGGTCATCGATTCCCCACTCAGCCTTGTTTTAGCACTACAATAGCGAATGTGTCTTGGACTGCTCTCACTATAAAGATTTTTTTTTCCATTTTATCTAATAGGTATTTACTTCCATGGCTGCAACTTTGGCAAAGAACAAGATGCAAATCCATGGCTTTTGCCACACCAGATATGCACAAAGCGCACTGGGCAAGCTGCAACATCTGAAAGCCACGCTGTAAGTATGCAGCGTCATTCTCCAGTCACTCTTGCCATTATCAGACACACTGCTATCTTTTTGGGTTCTGCTACAGAAGCCATGGTCTGGTGGATACAGAATTAGATATTGGAGCATCATCTTTGCAGGCAACATCCCACCCTCGGCATCAGTGTTTTCCTGCATTAAAGGCCCCAGATCGAGTTTGTTTCCACAAGCCAGAGCAAAACAGTTCCCATTAATACCAACTCTTGCTCCTGCATGCCAAATGGTGTCCTGTTTAGTAGTCCATGATCTTTGAGATTATTTTGACTTTCCCTTTTTACAGTGCACTGTAAAAGTTAAGCTTTATTTAAATAAAGCTATAATTGAAAGATACCCATCACATGCCAGACCTCATGGTAACATCTGGTAACACCTGAACTGTACTGCGACAGGGACATTGATTAAAGCCTTTATTAGCACTCAGGTTAATCTCATAACCTGTTTGCTGAGTTGCCAGATAAAAATATTAAACGGTCCCTTGAAAGTCTACTACAGACATGTTTACTGCCTTACATATTGCTAAACCTTCGCACAATTCCTGCCTGGTAAGTGGAATATGAAAATACTACATTTCTTATAGATACCAACTTTTTGGCTTTCATATCTAAGAAGTGGCGATTAAGAGAATTAATCTTATATTAATAACACAGAATTAGGAGTCAGGTCCGTAAGTATCTAAAGATGCAGATTGTTGCCCTCAGAAATCTACCTTCAATAGGAGTTAGAGAGCTGTCTCTTAAACAGGAACAGAGAAGGACAGATCCATAGAAAATGAGCAGCTGAGGATCTAAACAGGACATTTATAGGAACTTCATTCTGCAAGAGGCAGTTCTATCTGAAGAACATTGGGCCCAGAGATAAGAGACGCAAGATCTCTGTGATGTATTTAAGCATAACCTGCAGTCTAGGAGAGGCAACTAGAACAAGGAAATGAGGCAGTTCAGCGCAGAGTAGCCTTTACCAGCTTGCAGGGTTGGGTCTCAGCTCTGATTTTAAGAATGCTGAGACCTTTCCTGCTTCTCAGTGCAGCTGAAGAGGTGTGAGGGCTCTGCAACCCTAATCAAGCCATAAATGATTACACTAAGAGCCATGGGGGCAATGATCAGAGGCTGGACTTAGGCACAAGTAATTACTGCTAAGCTTTCAAGCACTGGCAGTGTTTTTTCATCCCATAGTCAACCCAAACATTCTTACTCTGACTCTTCCTCTTTTTGTTCCTTCAGGCTCTCAAGCAGAGATTCCTCCAGGACTTCCAGCTCCTCCAGGGGGATTCTCAGCAGCCAGGTGATGTGGCAGATCAATACCCTGGCTCGGGCATCGTAGTACCCTTAAACAGAGGGAAGCCCCGGAAATCAATCAGTCTGCACCGCACCAGATTAAATAGCGAGTGGCGCACTCAGCTGTGCTAGAGGACCATGTCACATACAACCATAGCTCCTTCCCTCAGGCTCTCTTTGTCCTCCATGTATTTGAACACAACTCCTGTTATCTAGAGAAGAGAGTGATAAATGGAAAATCCTTCTTCTCCACAAACCTCATCCTGCAAATAAGAGTCACTATACCAGGTAATTGCTTCTACGGCAAAAAAGGGATCTCAAATCCTCCGATCTTCACCCTCTGCAATAGAGGCCTTTTGGGTCTGGGTAGGCTGTACCTTTCTTCTCAACAGAGAAATGCTGCAGCAAGACCAGTCCTAACTGGAAATATCAAATATATATATGGGTAATACGACACAGTACACCTCTACTATGCACCAATGCAAAATATGGCATTTTGTAAAAACACACCTCCATGCAAAAGCTTTATATTCAATTCATCTTGTTGGCAACCAGAGGCACTCTGGAGTTTAAAACTACACACCGGCTCACCTAGCAGCATCACTGACAATTGTTTGCATTTATACTTCACTGCCGGAGATGCAGGAGTGGACAGTGCACTCAGACAACACATGATAGGAGAAACAATTACTCCTCGGCTTATAAGCAGGTGTTCTTAAAGAAAAGACATTTTAAATTATTTGTGCCAACTCTTGCTTTTTAAATGCGTTTCTCTCGGTAGCACCTGCTGCTTCCTGATGGTAGGCTTTTGTACAGGGTTCTTGGTGCACTCTGGGATGAAAAATGCAATTGCTTTTCTAGGTGTGAGTGAAGATACCAGCAAGATCCAACTACAAAGTATGTTTCTGGTATCTGCCGCACATAGATCAAATACAGCATTTGGCAATCTATTAAGTTTATTTATTTATTACCATCATACCAAACTACTTCAGTAGGCTTTAATGACACCACCTTTAAGATTTGTTGCTGAGAAATAAGGATAGTATTTATCTTCACTTCATCCCCAATATGTGCCACGTCTTGCAAGCCCAAGCAGGTGTTCTAACGAGTAGCCTTCTTGCTTCCTGTCTGCTAATACAGAACTTCGCTCTTTACTTAGCCAGCTTGGCAGTAAGTCAGCGAGGCTTGAAAATATATTTCTTTTAAATTCCAGCTTAGCAAAATAAGCAGTTTTGCAATAACTGACTTGTCAATTTTCCATTAAAAATAAAGCAAGAACAAAATCGGTACTTTGTTCTGCAGTGAATCAGGCTAATCAGCAACCAGTGAGTTCTTTCCTGTGAGAACACGTTAAAACACAGAGATTTAAAAAATGCAAGTAGTGATATAAAACAGGTTTCTTTTAGAAATGAACATTTTGTTCAGTCAGCAGTCTCTATTTCATTAATTTTATCAGACTAATCCATGTTATGGATTGTAAACCAGAAAATTGTTTTATGCTTAAAATACAAGTAAAATCACATTTATTTATAACAGGCTTCACAAGACACTCTGGAATTTATTCCCTGAATATTTTTTTTTTCTTCTAAGGCAACAAGCGATCTGCAGAAAATTTGCTAGGCTGAGATTTTCGTAACAGCTTTACTGCCTTCCTAAAGGAAGAGGTTGCCTGCTCCCCTGGAAACATTGGAGAAAAAAGACCCCACTTTAGGTATTTCAGTTCAGAACGTTTCTACCATTATTTACACTTGCATGCCAATGCATGGCATGTGAAGGTAAGGAGGTGAACAGCTGTTCAATTTTAACAGGTATTATTAATCATTCCTAATATAATTGTTGCTTTTCCTGTAGTGGACACATGGAAAGAGCATGCTGCTTTTGCCAGAAAGAAAGCTAAGATAAAATAGGATGGTACCTTGAGCTTTTTGAGCATTTTAAAATATCAGATGTAAACTCATCTACATTAATCTTACAAAGAACAAAGGCTAGGTAAACTTACCACCTCTAAGAGAGAAGGATAGAAGATCCTAGAAAGAAAAAAAGAATATTCAAGTTAAAACTGATGATGTATGCCTGGAGGTATCAAAACGGAGGCAGGAAAACCCATCGGACTATGATTTAATTACTGCAGCATGTCAGTTCATAAACATGGGAAGGCAGCACAGAGCAAAGCAAGATGCTTCCAGAACAAAATTCTCCATATGCAGGTAGAAATGGCTGGACAAAACTATATAATGCTTGGTATATGCTGAAGCATCCCATATTTTTTGTTATTAGCAATCCTGTTGCAATTGAAACCGGACTTCAAAGTTTGGAGAAACAGGGCTCTAATCCTCCTACCACTCCAATGCCTTCTGCTCGCTATATAGTCATATACACTCATATTTTCAACGTGAGTAACAGGTCTGAATGCTACTCTAATGAACCAGTGGCCCCTATTTTCTTTAGCATTCTGGGAATTCATAGCTCTAGGCGGTAAGGCTGCTGGCATGAAGTTATTTTGAATTAAGTGCTCAGGAATAGAAAACTCAGAATTTATGGCCACCTGTCAAGATTGAGGGACTTCTGTGTTGGCGCTTCACTGTACAAAAATTGGAAAAACAAATCAATCCAATAGATGGTTTCTATGGGCAAATCCATGAAAAAAAAGGGGCCAGTGTTTTTACTACTGTGTTTTCCTCTTTTATTGTCACTGGACAAATTTTAAGTTCTTTATGTAACTACAACACTAAGCACTAGCTCAATCTAGCTACTTCCCTCTCCTACACACAAAGAAAGCACAGCTGAATTTTACAGGGAATCCTTCAGCCCTTTGGGAACACAAAACACGCAGCCAAAGATGTAGGAGGCTGCCAAAGAGTTTATGATTATTAGTCCCATAAGCTCCTAAGCAAAATTTATATCGTAAAAATGTCTCTAATCTTTTCCCTACTGCATGAGGAGTATAGAACAGAGAACAAGCTATACTTAACCAACTTCTACTTGAAGAGGGGCAAACTGTAGACATTATCCAGGCAAAAATAAGTGCCTGGACTCTGAATATCATTTGAACATGAGAAGAGTCTGCTATTTCATAAAGGAGAAGAGAGTTTTCGCATAGGACTGGGGAAAACAAAGGATTAGGGCAGCTGAACTCCCACCTACAGGTGCTTTTTCACCAGGTATAGCCCCAAAACCTTCACTCCACTGCTGCCTTTATGTTTTCACACACCCCCCTCTACTGCTGAATATCTGGGTGGTTGTTGCCTTCCACAAAGAAGCCTTTTTTTGCCTGCCTGTGCTGCAAATCCTAATGGGATAAGGATTTCCAGAAGGTATCTCTTGGGCTGGGCTCTGCACAAAGCAGTCATCACTGCTTCTTCATCCTGCATCCCAATGGCCAGAGTGCTCACCCAAGAAAAGGAAGGTCCTGGTTTGCTATCTCCAATGTGCAAATAACCCTTTTAATTTAAGTAAGTCACTGAATCAGGTCTCCTCTGTTCCCCTAATCACCACACTGCAGAAAAAAAAAGGCTTCTTTTTAGGTCCAGCCATGATCAGTATTCTGTGCATGCACACGGGCTGCAGACTGATCCCCAGGCTGGTTGGTGGGACGTGGGAATTGCAGACATTAATCCCCACAGGCAGAGGGAGGACTGTCACTCTGGTCTCCCAAAGCCCAAGTACTTTAACTGCCCAGGTATTAGATACCTGGGCACCATGCGCTCCTCCCTGGCTGCAGTTTTGTGGGTGTTGACTCGGGTCCTGTACAATATGCTCAGAATCATCTGTGGTACCTAATATCAAAGAACCTCTTTTAAAAATCTGGCCTAAGGACTTACATATCTGCATTTCCAAAGGTAAGGGATTGATACAGGTAATCAGGTGATAAACTGGAACTACTGTTTTATTGCACCTGTGCCAATTAGCATTCTCAACTATTTCTAATTGGTTTAGGCTTTGCACATACTGCTGTGCAGTCATCTGGAATCCAATCAGCATTGATTAGATTAGTTCACAAGTTGTTTCCTTCCTCTAAGCAGCAGTTATTATATCGCAGTCTTATTTTGAAATTGGTGTTTTGAATCTCCCTGTGAACTCTATGCACCAGACTACCACCCATTGAGAAACCTCACAAAGAAAGGGAAGCAATCTATATTCAGAGTCTTTGCCAGCTTCTTATGAATTGCTGCAAGTTCAAAATCCATTTCCTCAACAACAGAGAGCACCCAATCCACATTGCAGTGGATGTGTGTTGAAAAAACACAGGAAAATGGGCATTCTAAGTATGTTCAGAGCAAAAAATAATATTCATAATAAGAACTTTCAACATTTTCTCACCTATCATCACTTCTTCACCTCTTTTTGTTGCACTGCCTTTTCATACTGCACCCACAGCCTGTGTGTTATGACTACTGTCCTTAAAGGATTCAGTTCACCAACATTTGCCTGTATTAGTCATCTGCAATGAATGCAAACAAAGATAAAAATCCATAATCCTCCAATTTTAATTGAATCAATGGTGAGCTCACCTCTAATCGCCTGACCTCATGTATCATCCCATCAGCACCTTTGAGATGGAGGGCATTCAAAAATGCAGGCATTAGTGCTGACAGGACCCTGCCTGAACACACTGAGCAGTTGAAGTGTATACTTGTTAAATCAACAGTAAGTGTTGCATCAGTAGCAGCTGAATACAAAGAAGCAAGAGCACTGTAAAGCAACTTATCAGGAATTCACAAAGCTTCATCCTGTAGCTTGTTTATTTTCAGGTAAGAAAAACGCTGATCTCAGCTCGGTACACTGAAGATTCCCACACGCCAGTACGCTTTCCCAAAGACACCTTGCAAGCCTCTGCTGCCTTGCTCTACCAAAGTCTTTAATTCTATCTTTCCTTTGACAAAAATGAATCACCTTGCCTGTATACATGACTGCACAGGGTACTGATGTTGTAGCATTAGACTGATAGCTATTCCTGATCTTTGCTTTCAACTAATCAAAGAATCGTTATCTATGGCTTCTGTATTCCACCTGAATCCAGGTGATAAGCACCTCAGTTCTCTGGCTCAGAGCAAAATACTGTGTGCTCCCACTGATCCAGAACCACTTTTGTAAAAGCACATGGAGCCCTTATGCCACATAAACTAGGAGCAAGCACACGTTAAATTTCACCAAAATTTCACCCTTAATAAACCCACCAGCAATGCAGGAAGACTTGCCTAAACCTAGAGAATCCATCCTGAAGCAGAGAGAATGAGGGAAACAATCTGGGAAATATCAAACTATCTAAATGCCGAAAGAACCCAGTGTGGATTTACTGATTTTGAGCAAACAACATCAAAACAGCTGCTCTTATTTTAGACCATCTGTCCTAACTTATTAATTAAGCTTAAGATTCTCTCTGGCTGTACTCATACTGTGACAGGGCTTTGGGCATTGTAACATTTGGATGTTTGGAGCAGATCCTCCGAGGTCTTTTATGGACTGACTAGGAGACACAAAAGATGGCTGAGATAATGGGAGCTGGTCATGATGACCAAGAAAGCTCACTCCTATCATATCTTTACTTACACAGCTGTGTTCTCACATCTGCTGTTCTGTCGGGCCATTGCTAAAGCTGAGCGTGTGATAACCGTTACTCAATACCAGGGTACTGTCTGCACGCAGGATGTCTTGCTATCTCCTTGTGTGCAGCGTACAGTGCGGGGTGTGAGGTGACAGTGGCCACGTTATGCGTGGCATCAGCAGCAGCCTACCATGCCCTTCGCCCTGCACGGCATAACGTGAGGCTGGGTGAGGAGATATCTTCCTCAGCTGAGACTCTGCAGCAAAGGTGAACGCCACCAGAATGCTGCACCTCTTTTATCTTTATGTCAGCTTTTACATCAGAACATTATGGAGTCGTCCCAGTCTCACTAATACTTTCTCAGCAAAAGAAAATAAAGTCAAAATAACTTCTTTCCTTCTGGCCAAAGCTGACTCTGGAAATTGCGCTATTTGGAGCATGTATATAGAGGTGTTTTGTATTACAGGTACAGTGAAGGGGCTTTTAAACAAAGGAAAATCAGGTCTATCACATTCAGTGTTTCAACAAAATGTGTAGAACACACATATGAGTCAAAACTGCTGCAATAATACAGTCAAAGTAAAAAGTTTGACAGTTCTTTGTTCTGTAGAGCGAAAGCATCAAAAATACAAAACGTTAATTCAACAGACAGTAACCGTGCCTCATGTACATCACTTCCATGAGCTGTTTATGCATAGAGAGACTGCCAGTCACCCACACAGCTGCTCAGACATATATGCATATCAGAAATACCGATTTTACTTCCCTGACTGTACAAACAGAACTTCAGTCGCAAACAGACCTGTATGACAAATCTCTTTTGCAAAAGCAAACAAGGGCGAGGGGAGCATATGAACTTACTTGAGTAATGACAACTGGATTTTCTTTCAAGATGGGATCCTTCAGCAAAATCTGGGCAAAAGTTTCTGTGCCCTCACCTCCTAAGCCACTAGCAAATGCTGTCATGGCAGGTAAGACAGCATCGGGCAGGTCCAGCCATTTCACAAAGTCCTCAATGAATTCCGTCCTGAAGGAGCTGGAAGGCAACAGTAGCAGTTAAGGCTCCACAACTGTGTGTTTTTGCAAGCTTTGAGTGGTCCCTGGTTTCAAATGTTGATCTGTTACTGTTCACAGAAAAATCAAAGCATCATAAGAAGTCAGCAGAAGGCAAGTTGCTACACAAGCTGGCTAAACAAAGAAGCAAGCAATCTGAACGGAGCCAGACCTTCCTTCAATGCATGCTCTGAAGTCTGCAGTATTAAGGGATGCAAATTGTACTGCAGTATAAAAGTCTTAAAGGTGTAAGACATTAAGTCAATACAATTAAGAAAACACCTAATGTCAAAAGGATCTGCCACTTCCCTAACTTCAGAAGACCCCACACAGAGTCTGACACCAGCTCCGTGTGAGTTGCTACCCAAAAGCCACCTCCTTTGCTCACCCCTTGCTACTCCGTGTAGTACCTTTGCTCTTTTTCAGGGAACAGCCACGCTAGGGATATCCCACAAAGTGCCGCATAAGCAAATCTTCCCGGTTCACCCAGCTGCTGGCCCAGAAGCACACACGGTTCCTTTTCACCTGCCTGTTCAGCCCCGCTATGCTGTTTCGAAGCCCAACCTTTCCACTTCTCTTCTGCAGCCATTTTCACCTGCAAGTTCAAAGAGAAAAAAAGCAGAAGGAAAAATAAATGAAAACAACAAACAGTTGAAAACCAGGAAGCAGGGAGACAAATTGCCTTTGATTTTTCACTGTCACACTTGATGTCAGTATTAAGTCAATCAAATCAAGGTCCAGCTTGCATATCCCCCCACAACATGGTGCTGTGACCAAAGAAGACAACAGCAGACTTTCTGTTCATCAGTTCTCAAACGTTTTGCACAAAATGAGCCGACAATACTTCACACAGCAAAAGGAGAAGTCCTCTTCAGGATGCAAAGAGACCGGGCTCCATTCAGGCATATCATTCACATGTTTACCACAAAAATAACATGTAGAATAAAAGCTCTGCACCTGGTGCAGGGATCAGTACAGCTGCCTGGGAAATAATTTGCCTCTCTCATCCTCAACCCAAATTGCTCCTCTGTTTATTTTGCTGACGGTGTTAAGGAAGTTGAGTCCAGCTGCAGCCTCTGATGAGAAGGACTTTGAACGTGTCCCACGGACATTGCTATGCTTTGCTTGTAACATTCTCTCCTCTGTACAACCTGCCACTGCTTTTCCCCTAAGATCCCCATGCCACACAGACCTTGAGCTGGGCCAAAATGTTACTTTTTAGAGCACAGACATGCATGCTTCTAACTGAACAGCTTACAACTGCTCTCAGGCAGCTCCCCGATTATACAAGCGGCCAACCGAAATCAGGCAGATGTGACAACAGCTCATCTCACAGTTCAATGCAGGTAACAATCTCCTCCAAAGCTCGCTTACATCACCTGAAATTTCTGCTGACTTCATCAAGAATCATTCGGTTTGTAAGGGGCCCAAATCACCTATTTCATGATATACTTCCCATTTAAATGTTTCCTTTCTTCTGAACCCTGTAGAAAGGAAATTGGCTGAATAGGAATTAGGAGCCCATGACACTACAGCTGAATCTCAGAGGATGCAGACACCATTTATGGGATAGTTTTAGAGTACTAGAAGAAAGAAGCACAGCACAGGAGCAGCTCTTTTTAAAAGTTTTTATTATCTGCATGCCATCTGTCATGGTCTTCCAGGAAAGGTGTCTGTCTTGCCCTCCCGCTCAGAATTTTATCTGAGGCAATTCATATTTCTCAAGGCTTGCACTGTTTAAATGCTGATGTATAAATGCAAGGAAAATTCATCGCTCAAGGGCCAATGGTTATTGTAACTCGCATCTCTCTCCCTGGGAGAGCTCAGCCCCTCTGCAACACGTAGCTCCTGATGCCATCCGTGGCTTGAGCACAGGAGTCTAAGGCATCTCGGGGCATTTCCATGGAAACATCACATTGCAGCAACATGGGAGCACAAAGTCCGCAGGAATAAACGAACGCTGTTATTTCCGTACCAGCCAGAGAAGGGAAGGGCCAGATTACGCTTCCCCAGGGAGAGCGGGTGCCTGGGATCAATCCCAGCCCGCTCTGGTACCAACCACAACACGCAGCAGCATTTATGCTTGCTGAATTGTAGCTGTGAAGGTGGCACGGGATGTGCCTCCATGCTTTCTAGGACTTCCTTACAAAATCCCAAGATTCTTCTATTACCTCAGAAGTTCCAAAGACCTCATTTGGACCCCTAAAATCCATTTCACATCGCTCGCTAGGCTCTGATCTTCCTAAAACATCCAGACTTAAGGACCAATTTGCACAGAAATAATCTAACGCTTAAAGTTTCAGTAACTTTACAATTACTTGGCATGTCTGCTCACCTCTGGACACAGATTTATTAGCTTATTATAGGAGACAGCACTGAAAATAAAATCCCCTTCCAGGCTGCAACAGATTTATTGATTTGTTAACACAGGCTCATATGAAAAGTGAAACAGCTAAAAAAGATCCAGAAACAGTACAACTGTTTCACCTTGTCCCAAAAACATAAAAGATGTGACCAATTATGGAGCGACACCATAGTCGCTTCTTGCATGCAACTTTATTGTCGTTATGCAACAAATAATTCACGATGCTGAGCATCTAGAATACCCAGAGAAAGTTTTTGAAAGACTTTGCTCTGAAGATGCTCTGATCAGTATGCTCGACATGCATCCCTCAACATAGGTATCTATTTCTTGATAAATACCTAGGAAAAAATGGACTTGGATTTTCAGACATGCAGCATAAAAAAAGGGCAACATGCGATTTAGTAAAGAAGACTTGGGCCAAGAAGTTTTGCCACTAAATCCAAGATGAGGGAATTGAGAGCTAGAAATACATCCCAAAAGTTATTTACACCTTGTGGCACTGGAATTCACATCTCCGTCTCCAACAATGAGATTCAGCAATCAATAGCATTGCCATTATCTGAACTGTCACTTGAAAGAGAATTTTTTTATCACTTCCAGCACTTACTTTTCCCACAAAGCCCTTTGTTTTCTTGAGAGGTGGTGTATTTTATATAGCGGCTCCCGCAATCCTATTTGGAAAGCAGAAAGATAAGCCTTTGGTGGATCTAAAGCTGTACAATACACACGTGCTCCCTAGTGCTGGAAGAAGAAATACAGAGATGCTGGCATCGTGTTCATCCTAAACTACGTCAGGTGTTAACCTCCAAGACCCTCAAAAGTTAATGAGACATCTCATTAACTTCAGAGAAGTAATTGCAGATAATTATTCAAATGGGGCTGGCCAAAAAGTCCCTTACCAAGGCAGACCGGAGGACAGCACAGCCAAACTGCAGTTAAGCATTGGACACGATGTCGTGACTGCGGAAACATTTGGGCAGATGAGTTTTCTTGGGGACTTACCCAGGGCTCCAGAGCCATACACGCGCTTACATGCCGGGAGCACCACAGCCTTCGCTTTTAATCCATAGATATGAAGTACGAACACGGAACGCAATTAATTCAGCCCTGGATAAAATCGCATCTTGCCACAAAAACGATACAGAGGGCCGCCACAGAGATGCGTGCTAAATGTAAAACAGAGATCAGAGACCAAGGGGACGGGGACATGGAAAAGCTAAAAGGTTAAGGAGTTGCAAAACTGAGTGCATTTGATTTGGTTAATCCAGACGCTTGT